CACACACACACACACACACACAGTATATATCCCCACAGTGGCTCCTCTGTTATCACATCACAGAAAATGTTGTGACGCTGTGGCATCTCACTAATATTCAGCAGCATTTCCTCTGGTCCCATCTGAGCTGTTTCTGATTAGCTGCTGCAGTGTGCACAGACCTGGCCTTCGGCTTTAATGCTCACAGCTTCCTCTGGAGTCTCAAGAGTTATGGGCCCAATAAAACTCTCTCTCTCCTCTCTCCCTCTTTTACACACACACACACACACACACACACACACACACACACACACACACACACGAACACACACACGAACACACACATGCACACGCAGATACACGATATGTTGTTGATGTGTATATGATGGCTGATGAGTAATCCAGATGCTGATGTTATTTCCGATTCATTAACCCGTAATAAATTAAACACTCAGAATGAAAATGAACAGCAGGGACAGCTCTCCTATACACTTACCCAACACACACTCACAGATGTGCACACACACTAAACAAATGGTTGTGGCAACGCTACACAAAAAACAACCAGTGATCACATCATGTCGAGTCTGATTGACGAAATAAAACAAGGTATTATTCTGGAAAACAAGTGAACTATTAAATGTGTTTTGATATTTGATTGGTTTTAAGAGTTTACCTGATTTGGCTCATGTACTTGTTCAAACACTGAGTTTTCATTAGACAACTCACATTTTGTTTGTTGATCAGCAGTTTCCAGGAGCCTCGGGCTGAAGTGAGCGGATCTAAAGTAAGCTTCCTATATCAGGACGTTTGTGCATATTCACTCCACAGATTCATTTATCAGATCCTTTGAGAAATGTGACGGATCGGGTCCAAAGTTGCTTTTACTCTTTGTCTCACTGCGTAATGAAACCTGCAGGAATCAGCTGAAGTCTGAGCCGATTTACGCGCATTTGCACAGCTTCGATTTCTTTGCGTGTTTTCATTAAGTCTCACTGACTAACCTGTAAAACAAACATGTGTTTATATTATTCAATCTGGAACAAACAATTCCACAAACACGGGTTTAGATAAGATCACTGTCTCCCTGTGTGATCCATGTACGTTCAGGTCTGCCACCATTTGCTGGCTGGACCGCACATGGGCAGACACGCAATTTATTGGACTTGACAGTCAGTGTGTGTCCGTCCCAAAAAGTGAGACACCTGCTTTGGGACAGATGTCCATGTCCATGTGGACTCACAGCTCCAGAGACCCTGGTCGCTCGGCCTCTCCTCCATCTAACAAGGTAAAACCACCGATAATCTTCTTAATCCAACCAGTTATTAAAACCTGCAAGGCCACATGGTTTATTTCGCTCTAGCTTTATTCATCCCTTCATTTAAAATGAATTAATTTATATATTTATATTCCTTCTTTGGTCTCTGTGAGTTTTGATTGTCATCTTCCTCCATCATGGATTGTTCATTAAATTCTGGCTGTACGCAATGCGTCGGGTCTTGACGTATAAAATGTCTCGTATTTTCCAAAAGGAAATGAGTTTAGTTTAAAAACAAGAAATTGAAATTACTGCCGCAATAACACAGATCATAATAAAGATCTATGATAACTTCTTAATTGCTGAAACTCCTTAAACACCTTCAACTTTACAAACTTGGTTTAGGATTTTACAAAATTCTAATTATTTCCACCTCATATTTTACTCACAATACAGCACAGAGTGAAACGAGCTGGTATTTGTTATTGAGATC